AGAAGGCAGGTCCCGAGTGTCACAATCAGTGAAGAAGGCAGGCCCCGAGTGTCACAATCAGTGAAGAAGGCAGGACCCGAGTGTCACAATCAGTGAAGAAGGCAGGTCCCGAGTGTCACAATCAATGAAGAAGGCAGGTCCCGAGTGTCACAATCAGTGAAGAAGGCAGGTCCCGAGTGTCACAATCAATGAAGAAGGCAGGTCCCGAGTGTCACAATCAGTGAAGAAGGCAGGTCCCGAGTGTCACAATCAATGAAAAAGGCAGGTCCCGAGTGTCACAATCAGTGAAGAAGGCAGGTCCCGAGTGTCACAATCAGTGAAGAAGGCAGGCCCCGAGTGTCACAATCAGTGAAGAAGGCAGGCCCCGAGTGTCACAATCAATGAAGAAGGCAGGCCCCGAGTGTCACAATCAATGAAGAAGGCAGGTCCCGAGTGTCACAATCAGTGAAGAAGGCAGGTCCCGAGTGTCACAATCAGTGAACAAGGCAGGTCCTGAGTGTCACAATCAGTGAAGAAGGCAGGTCCCGAGTGTCACAATCAGTGAAGAAGGCAGGTCCTGAGTGTCACAATCAGTGAAGAAGGCAGGTCCCGAGTGTCACAATCAATGAAGAAGGCAGGTCCCGAGTGTCACAATCAATGAAGAAGGCAGGCCCCGAGTGTCACAATCAGTGAAGAAGGCAGGTCCCGAGTGTCACAATCAATGAAGAAGGCAGGTCCCGAGTGTCACAATCAGTGAAGAAGGCAGGGCCCCGAGTGTCACAATCAGTGAAGAAGGCAGGTCCCGAGTGTCACAATCAATGAAGAAGGCAGGCCCCGAGTGTCACAATCAGTGAAGAAGGCAGGCCCCGAGTGTCACAATCAATGAAGAAGGCAGGTCCCGAGTGTCACAATCAATGAAGAAGGCAGGTCCCGAGTGTCACAATCAATGAAGAAGGCAGGCCCCGAGTGTCACAATCAATGAAGAAGGCAGGTCCCGAGTGTCACAATCAATGAAGAAGGCAGGTCCCGAGTGTCACAATCAGTGAAGAAGGCAGGTCCCGAGTGTCACAATCAGTGAATAAGGCAGGTCCCGAGTGTCACAATCAGTGAAGAAGGCAGGTCCCGAGTGTTACCATCAGTGAAGAAGGCAGGCCCCGAGTGTCACAATCAATGAAGAAGGCAGGTCCCGAGTGTCACAATCAGTGAAGAAGGCAGGTCCCGAGTGTTACCATCAGTGAAGAAGGCAGGCCCCGAGTGTCACAATCAGTGAAGAAGGCAGGTCCCGAGTGTCACAATCAGTGAAGAAGGCAGGCCCCGAGTGTCACAATCAGTGAAGAAGGCAGGCCCCGAGTGTCACAATCAGTGAAGAAGGCAGGACCCGAGTGTCACAATCAGTGAAGAAGGCAGGTCCTGAGTGTCACAATCAGTGAAGAAGGCAGGCCCCGAGTGTCACAATCAGTGAAGAAGGCAGGTCCTGAGTGTCACAATCAGTGAAGAAGGCAGGCCCCGAGTGTCACAATCAATGAAGAAGGCAGGTCCTGAGTGTCACAATCAGTGAAGAAGGCAGGTCCCGAGTGTCACAATCAGTGAACAAGGCAGGTCCTGAGTGTCACAATCAGTGAAGAAGGCAGGTCCCGAGTGTCACAATCAGTGAAGAAGGCAGGTCCTGAGTGTCACAATCAGTGAAGAAGGCAGGTCCCGAGTGTCACAATCAATGAAGAAGGCAGGTCCCGAGTGTCACAATCAATGAAGAAGGCAGGCCCCGAGTGTCACAATCAGTGAAGAAGGCAGGTCCCGAGTGTCACAATCAATGAAGAAGGCAGGTCCCGAGTGTCACAATCAGTGAAGAAGGCAGGCCCCGAGTGTCACAATCAGTGAAGAAGGCAGGTCCCGAGTGTCACAATCAATGAAGAAGGCAGGCCCCGAGTGTCACAATCAGTGAAGAAGGCAGGCCCCGAGTGTCACAATCAATGAAGAAGGCAGGTCCCGAGTGTCACAATCAATGAAGAAGGCAGGTCCCGAGTGTCACAATCAATGAAGAAGGCAGGCCCCGAGTGTCACAATCAATGAAGAAGGCAGGTCCCGAGTGTCACAATCAATGAAGAAGGCAGGTCCCGAGTGTCACAATCAGTGAAGAAGGCAGGTCCCGAGTGTCACAATCAGTGAATAAGGCAGGTCCCGAGTGTCACAATCAGTGAAGAAGGCAGGTCCCGAGTGTTACCATCAGTGAAGAAGGCAGGCCCCGAGTGTCACAATCAATGAAGAAGGCAGGTCCCGAGTGTCACAATCAGTGAAGAAGGCAGGTCCCGAGTGTTACCATCAGTGAAGAAGGCAGGCCCCGAGTGTCACAATCAGTGAAGAAGGCAGGTCCCGAGTGTCACAATCAGTGAAGAAGGCAGGCCCCGAGTGTCACAATCAGTGAAGAAGGCAGGCCCCGAGTGTCACAATCAGTGAAGAAGGCAGGACCCGAGTGTCACAATCAGTGAAGAAGGCAGGTCCTGAGTGTCACAATCAGTGAAGAAGGCAGGTCCCGAGTGTCACAATCAGTGAAGAAGGCAGGTCCCGAGTGTCATAATCAGTGAAGAAGGCAGGTCCCGAGTGTTACCATCAGTGAAGAAGGCAGGCCCCGAGTGTCACAATCAGTGAAGAAGGCAGGTCCTGAGTGTCACAATCAGTGAAGAAGGCAGGCCCCGAGTGTCACAATCAGTGAAGAAGGCAGGTCCTGAGTGTCACAATCAGTGAAGAAGGCAGGCCCCGAGTGTCACAATCAATGAAGAAGGCAGGTCCTGAGTGTCACAATCAGTGAAGAAGGCAGGCCCCGAGTGTTACAATCAATGAAGAAGGCAGGTCCTGAGTGTCACAATCAATGAAGAAGGCAGGTCCCGAGTGTTACAATCAATGAAAAAGGCAGGTCCTGAGTGTCACAATCAATGAAGAAGGCAGGTCCTGAGTGTCACAATCAGTGAAGAAGGCAGGTCCTGAGTGTCACAATCAATGAAGAAGGCAGGCCCCGAGTGTCACAATCAGTGAAGAAGGCAGGCCCCGAGTGTCACAATCAGTGAAGAAGGCAGGTCCTGAGTGTCACAATCAATGAAGAAGGCAGGTCCTGAGTGTCACAATCAATGAAGAAGGCAGGTCCTGAGTGTCACAATCAGTGAAGAAGGCAGGCCCCGAGTGTCACAATCAGTGAAGAAGACAGGTCCCGAGTGTCACAATCAATGAAGAAGGCAGGCCCCGAGTGTCACAATCAGTGAAGAAGGCAGGTCCCGAGTGTCACAATCAATGAAGAAGGCAGGTCCTGAGTGTTACAATCAATGAAGAAGGCAGGTCCCGAGTGTCACAATCAATGCGAGCATTTCACAACCCCCTCCCCCCCTCCCCCCCTCCAGGGAGAGTGACGCGAGGGCTTCACAGTGGGGGGGTGGGGGGGCAGCCTCGTGCGGGTAACTGCACACGTGGACAGTTGCCATGGAGACGCTGGTTTTGGTTGCCGGGCAACCAGCAACTGCATCACGTACGGATTAGGGTGAAATGAAGTTGTTAAGAGGGTGAGGTCATGCTCTTGAATTTGTTCACGAAAGATATACGTATATATATATACACAAATTGCATCGGTCACGCAGCCACAGTGCACACAATCAGCGACATCGGTTCGATACAAGAACAATTGTGGCAACAGTTTTGCCATGCTGTGTTCGCACCAGCAGAGTCGGGCTGCTTGCCTGAACCGATGCTGTCTGTCTGTTAGAAACACGCGTTCAGAGGTTTTGGTCCCCGTGACGATGATGATGATGAGCCACTCCGGTGAGCTGTCGTCTGTGATTGCCAGGTCGCTTCTGCATACAGAGCGATTGAGCTCTGGGCCTTACCTGGGTAAATAAAGACAACGTTCATATGGGTCCCAGTTTATTGCAAATTTATATCAAAATATATCAAATCATAATTATCCACAACGACACTGATGATGATCGTGGTTTCGCCTCGATCAGTGGTTCTTAACCTGTGCTGCAGCCTTGTACCCCTCTGAATCGTTAAACAAAGTACAATATTAATCTATATATATAAAATCGCAAATCTGTCTGTCTATCTGTCTGTCTGTGTGTGTGTCTGTGTATCGGACCATACGCAGTTTCATTTGACGAAATGTCAGGGATTTGCGAGACACGATTCGTCCGGCGGTTGCCCCTGGCAACGGGTAGCGATGCATTCGCCGCGGGGTGGACGCCATTTTTAATTCCCGTTAAAAATAGGCGCACGCATTAACACGCGACTCTGAGGTAAATTCATCAAAGTTTCACGTCCTCTTCACTCCCCCCCCCCACCACAATGTGTGCAATTACTATTATAGGGTCGGTAGATTATAAAATTATAGCGATTAGACAGTATTATTGTAGCGCGGGGGGGGGGGGGGTACCGGACCCAGTACCCAGCCTCAGCCGGGTGGGCAATCTAGGCGAGGCCGGAGGCTCTGCACGGTACTAGGCCTCGACACCCACCACGCGACTCTGAGGTAAATTCATCAAAGTTTCACGTCCTCTTCACTCCCCCCCCCCCCCCACCCCAATGTGTGCAATTACTATTATAGGGTCGGTAGATAATTAAATTATAGCGATTAGACAGTATTATTGTAGCGCGGGGGGGGGGGGGGGGTAACGGCCCCGGTACCCAGCCTCAGCCGGGTGGGCAATCTAGGCGAGGCCGGAGGCTCTGCACGGGGGACTAGGCCTCGACACCCCACCACACTATAGGCCGTACATATTACTGCACAGCGGCCGAGGAGATCGTGGCTGGGGGGGGGGGGGGGTAGCAGCCCATCTGTGTATATATGTGAAGTATGGGAATTGACGGCAGGAACTTCTTGACGGGTAACACACTTTTATTAAATCTTTATGTGTCACAATACAACGTGTGGTCTTCCTTCTTCCGACGACACACTCCACTAATCTCGTGTAAACTCTAGGCCTCTGGCTACACCCGATACACTTGACTCGTGTAGACCCTATGCCTCTGGCTACACACACTACACTCGACTCGTGTAAGCCCTATGCCTCTGGCTACACAATACACTCGGCTCGTGTAGACCTATGGCTACACACACTACACTCGCCTCTGGGTTACACAGAGTCCCGGTCCCCTTAGGACAGCGGGGCTAGGTACCGCAGGGCTCTAGGTCTTCATCCCCGTCTTCATTCTTCGCTGGTTACACACTGCCCTCACGCCTGTGTGCATCCCCTTTTATAGCCCCTGCTCACGAGAGGCGGAGCTGATGCGTACTTCAGCATGAGCATCGCTCCTTAATGAACCAATCACGACGCACTCTCTCTACGATCCGGTTTCCCCAGCGCGTGTTAACACTCCTCCACCAATCCCACCGCGCTGCCACCCGGTCACTCCCTCTCAGCACGTCACCGGTCCACAGCCAATCAGTACCCCGTAACCCACGACCCCGCGCTGACCCCTGATCCTCCACCGTCAGCGCACGTCACCACCTACACAGCCAATCATTACGCGCTGGCATACGATCTCTAATCCCAGCGCGTATCACCTCTACATCACCCCCTCCCACATAGCTTGCAGCCGGCCCGGCTGTTAACCAACAACACAACCTAACGTCAATGTAGTAACAAAGAAACTCCACCTCTCAGTGTGCCCCGTAACGCAACAACAACAACACAACACAACACTTAAATATGAAGCAATATACAGCCCGACGAACAACACAATAAAAGCGAACACCGGAAAACGAACACAATAAAAGCGAACACCGGAAAACGAACGCGCCAAGTGTCTCTGTGACTAAACGCAGTGCCGAGGCGCTCCGGCTGCCTCGACTCCTCACGTGGCAGGTCACACAAAGTAGCGCGACCTAGCGCGAGTCCGTCTGGCCGGTCCGTCGTATGGGACGGGACGTTGGCGACCGTCCGGTGGCTCCGGCTGCTCAAGATCCGGCCGCCGGTGGTCGGCAGCTGTCAGTTCCGAGACACCTGGGAGCGGATCAGGCGGAGACATGTGAGGAGCAGGCAAAGACAATTCCCCCTCAGGGTCGCTGGTCACGTCACATGCTCGGCCCTCATGACACAAGGGGAGGCCATACGGAGGCGAGAACGGTTTCAGTCGGGAGGGGTGGACGTACCAACGGCGTTTCCCCCATTTTATCTGAACGCACTGGGGGCGTGCAACCCGCACGACCTCCACGGGTCCCCGCCACGGCTTCAACAATTTAGGCGACGTGGCCAAAGGTGCCTGAGGGCAATGCAGCCAGGCCTTGTCACCTGGTTCCCAATTGTGCACGGACACCTTCCGTGCCCGCAACCGCTCGTTCGCAATTTGGCGAGCCCGCGAATTAAGCCGTGCGGCCTCCCTTGCCTCTGTCAGTTTATGAATATTAAATTTAATATGCTCTGCCAATTTAGAATTAGTTCGTGGTGCGGGCAGACCCAGCTGCGTTTCCATGGGCGGGTCGGCTTCCCGACCGTACATTAGATAAAACGGGGAAAACCCCGTAGCTGCATGGGGGGCCATTCTATACGCGGCAAGGACCCCAGGGACCTGCAGGTCCCAATCAACATGCGACTCACACACCTGCTGGCACAGCATAGAGGTCAATGTCCTGTTAAGCCTCTCCACCATCCCGTCCGTCTGCGGGTGGTACGGGGAGGTACGCACCTTTTTGGTACCCAACAGGTCGCACACCTCTTGCAGTAATTTACTCGAAAATTTTTTCCCTTGGTCAGTCAGCAAGCGTTCGGGAGCCCCCTTGTCCAGGACGTAGCCCTGGACAAAGGCGTCCGTCACAGCCGCCGCCGACTGGTTGGCGAGTGGCCACGCCATAGGCCACCGGGTAAAATATTCGACCCCCACCAACAGGTACTTATTACCCCTAGGCGTGACCGGAAAGGGCCCCAGAATATCGAGTGCAACGAGCTCGTTAGTGCGCGAGACCTGAATAGATTGCAGCGGTGGATTAGCTGCCACGGGCGGTGGTTTCCGTCTGGCGCACTCAACACAACCCTTCAGAATATTCACCACGTCACCCCCCATTCCCGGCCAATAATAGTCACGCTGAAGCAGGGCAAGCGTTTTGTTAACTCCCAAATGCAAGAGGCGTTCGTGTGCGGCCAAGACAACCTTCCCCCTCACAGCAGAAGGCACCACAATCGCATGCCGCCGGGACAAACTATCCCATCTCATCAACAGGCCCTGCTTAAGCTCGTAGGAGCCAGTTCGGTCGTGGCTACCTTCGGAACCCTCCGTCTTTCGGCGCAATGCCAGCAGGGAGCTGTCCGCCATTTGGAGACGGCCCCACTCAATCAACGACAGTGAGAGCAGCGAGTCCTGACCCCCTGGGGTAGCGGGACCATCCCCAATTGGAGTGCTCGCGGTCGCAACCAACGCCTCCCTACCTTCCGTAACCGGAGGTTTACAGCGCGCCGATCCCGATAAGCACGCACATTTGTGACAAGGCAACAACCGCGACAGGGCATCGGCATTCGTGTGTCGCAACCCTTTACGGTACGTAGTCGTGAACTGATAGTCCTGGAGGACTTCCAACCACCGCGACAATTGGCCCGAGGGCTGGGCAACCCGTAATGAATACTGGAGCGCCGCATGGTCCGTCCGGACCGTGAAATGACGACCATAGAGATAAGGCCTGAATTGTTGTACAAAAAAAACAATGGCAAGTAGTTCACGACGGGTGACGCAGTAGCGCTGCTCTGCCGGCGACAACACCCTGCTACCATAGGCGACCACCCGTTCGACCCCTCCAACGACTTGGGACAGCACTCCCCCAATGCCCGTGTTGCTAGCATCCGTGTCTAGCAAGAAGGGACTCTCAAAGTCCGGATAGCGCAAGGGTGGGGCCCTTACCAAGGCGTCCCGGAGGGAGCAGAATGCAGCCTCCTCCTCCGGTCCCCACCGGAACTTCACTCCTTTTGCCGTTAAAGCGTGCAAGGGCTTTGCAATGGTGGCGAAGTGCTCAACGAATCGGCGATAATACGAAGCAAAACCGATGAAACTGCGCACGTCTGACACTGACGTGGGCGTCGGCCACGAACTGACACAGTCCGTCTTCGCAGGATCGGTAGAAATCCCCGAAGAGTCGACAATGTGACCCAAGTACCTCACGGATTTACGAAAAAGATGGCATTTGGCCGGTTTAAACTTTAATTTAGCCGATCGCATTCGCAAGAACACCCCTCTCAATCGCTGGAGGTGTTCTTCGAACGTTTTACCGAAAACAATGACATCGTCAAGGTAAATGAGGCACGTCTCCCACTGCAAGCCCGACAAAACCAATTCCATAAGACGCTGAAACGTCGCAGGAGAGGAGTGAAGTCCCATGGGTAACCGGTTAAACTGAAACAGGCCCCCTGGAGTCCGGAATGCAGTCTTAGGCTTAGACTCCTCGTCGAGTGGCAACTGCCAAAATCCGGACAATAAATCAAGAGTCGAAAAGTATCGCGCACCAGACAATGCGTCGAGAGACTCGTCCATCCTGGGGAGCGGATACGCGTCGGCCACCGAGATCTTATTCAGGCGGCGGAAATCGACGCAAAATCGCAGGGACCCGTCCTGCTTTTTAACGAGCACAATAGGTGCTCCCCAAGGACTGGAAGAAGGCGAAATAATGTCGGCTTCCAGCATATCGTTAACTGCCGACTGAACATGTTCCTTCTCAGCAGGACTCAGTCGGAAGGGATTTTGCCTGACCGGTGCCGCATCGCCCGTTTCAATGTGGTGGCGTAGCAGGTCCGTGCATCCGATATCATACTTATGTTTACTGAAGACATCCGAAAATTCAATCAGCAACCCGCGCAACGCACCCAACTGTACCGCTGACAAATCGTCAGAGTCCGCGCACAGCATATCAATCCAATCTAGGTCCTCCTTCGATGGTACGCTATTCGTGGGGCTCGGATCAGCCTGCGCAACCAACCTCTCCTCCGCAGGGACCCGTGCCGCGTGAGCCAGCACGGTGCCCTGCTGAATGACGGCCGGCCGCGCCCCAGCGTTTAAAACCATGACAAACGGATCCCTGTCTGCCCCAACCAAAGTGTGAGCCACCGATAAATCGAGACCTCCAACAGCCCTATTAGAAGGACCCAAAAGCATGGCCTGTTCCGAGGCCTCCTTCCCCCATGGCTTCCGTAACCGGAGGGGAATCAACATTTGTGAACCCGGGGGCACGTGCACGGTCTGTGTTGCTAACGCCTGAATGGTAGCGCACGCCGTCCGAATTTCATTAGGGCTCGTCAAAAATGAAATACGGCGACCCGATGGTAGTTCAATGCAACGCTGATCAATGAGAATTTTGATGGGCATTTTCGCCAAAAAATCAGTGCCCAATAGGCAAGGAACCGCCAGGGAAGATGAAACGAAAACGGGTCCCGACAATTTGATATCACCAATGCAAATGGACGCCCTAATCTGACCAATAATGCCCAACGATCCCCCGTTAGCGGCGTAAAATGGCACATCCACCGAAAGAAGCGGACGACATTGTACCGGGAGAATATTATAAATGAGATCCGAAATAATAGTCGCCGATGCCCCCGTGTCCACTAACACCCTGACCTCGACCCCATCAATCGATCCGGTAACGACGGATGAACCCGCTGAGGCAGCCACTATTCTGTGCCCCAATTCCGACCATTTAATGTCTCCCCGGTCCCGGCCGAACCCCCCTCTCCGAACCGAATCCCCGAACTCTACTCGGCTCTCCCTCGTCGCAACGCGACGACCCATACGTGTCGAGTATGCGGGCCAAGCATGTGAGGTGCCGCGACTTGCCGGGGTTTGCAGTGATGACTTGGGGCCTTGGTCGTCGTCCAGCCGAGGTCCCATGGCGCGCTGACGTGGGGCACGGCAACCGGAGGCCACGTGGCCACGAAGGCCGCAGTTATAGCAGGTGATGACAGTGGTCGGAGATCTCGGTTGCTCCAGCTTGCGGGCCGCTCGCAGAGGCGAACGACCCCCCGACCTCCAGTCCCCCGCTCGTCCCGCGATGAACGCGTCCTCTCGTGGGCTGACGACTTGGGGCCCGGTGTCAACCGGACCCGGAGTTGAGGCCACGGCAGCGTTGCAGACGACCCCCTGCTTTCGTTGAAGGACCTCGTGCGCTTGCATGCTCGTGGCGACCCGTAATGAAGAAATATCGGTCTCGTCGGCCGTGTTGATGGGGACCCCCAGGTCCTGCGCCAACTTGAGCAGCTGCTCCAAAACCATCGCATCTTGGCCCTCCTCGTCCATACGAGGGAACGCGGCGTCAGCGAGAGCGAGCAACGCCGTGCGGTAGGCGAGCACGGTCTCCGTGTCCGCCTTCTGTCTTGCGTAGAAATGATGGCGGCACGCCGAGGGAGGACCGTAGACTTTGGCCATGAGAGCCAGCGCATCCTTGAGCGTGGAGCGGTCCGACCTGCGTGCGGACGTGAAGGCCGCGAGCGCGTTGTCGTCCAGCATGGCAGGCAGTGCCCGCAGTGCCGTAGCGTCGGACCAGGCGGACATCTCTTGATGCGCCAAAAATCTGCGCTGAAATTGGCTCCAATCCCCGCCTTCCGCCTTGAATGCTGACAACGTGGGAAGGCGCTGCTGAAAAATAAAGTCGTCCTCCTCCTCGTGCTTCCTCTCTGCCCCCCCGTCGGTGTGTAAGATGGCGGCCCCATTGGCGGGTGTGTGATGGCGGTCCGCCGCGCGCGTTGGTGACGTCAGCGGGCGCGCATGGAGAACCGCTGCCACGTGGTGATGGCCGTTCCCGCCAAAAGTTGGAGCGGATGAAATGGCGGGAATCGCCAAATCGTTTTGGCGGGAATCTGCAGAGCGACCCTGTAGCACGTCGGCCGCCGTCCCCGCTCCTCCCGACGAGCTGATCTCCGCCAAGATGGACGCGGCGGCGAGCAGCAGCTCCGCCAGACGGGAGTGTGCCTCGCGAAGCACGGTGTCAGTCCCCCGTCGCTCGTCCGGCGCCGTCGGTGGATCCTGCCCCGTGGGCAGCTCCTCTTCCTCACCCCCTGATGCCCGCTGGCCCGCGTCGTCGAGGTTGTCCCCGTGGTCAATCCCGTGGGTCCGACGGCTCCTCCTTGTATCCATGCTTGGAGGACCGTTTCACTTCTGACGCCAGTTGAAGTATGGGAATTGACGGCAGGAACTTCTTGACGGGTAACACACTTTTATTAAATCTTTATGTGTCACAATACAACGTGTGGTCTTCCTTCTTCCGACGACACACTCCACTAATCTCGTGTAAACTCTAGGCCTCTGGCTACACCCGATACACTTGACTCGTGTAGACCCTATGCCTCTGGCTACACACACTACACTCGACTCGTGTAAGCCCTATGCCTCTGGCTACACAATACACTCGGCTCGTGTAGACCTATGGCTACACACACTACACTCGCCTCTGGGTTACACAGAGTCCCGGTCCCCTTAGGACAGCGGGGCTAGGTACCGCAGGGCTCTAGGTCTTCATCCCCGTCTTCATTCTTCGCTGGTTACACACTGCCCTCACGCCTGTGTGCATCCCCTTTTATAGCCCCTGCTCACGAGAGGCGGAGCTGATGCGTACTTCAGCATGAGCATCGCTCCTTAATGAACCAATCACGACGCACTCTCTCTACGATCCGGTTTCCCCAGCGCGTGTTAACACTCCTCCACCAATCCCACCGCGCTGCCACCCGGTCACTCCCTCTCAGCACGTCACCGGTCCACAGCCAATCAGTACCCCGTAACCCACGACCCCGCGCTGACCCCTGATCCTCCACCGTCAGCGCACGTCACCACCTACACAGCCAATCATTACGCGCTGGCATACGATCTCTAATCCCAGCGCGTATCACCTCTACATATGTAAGGTTTTTAAGAAATATATTTTTCAC